ATATATATATATCTTGAGATAACTTTCCAGAAAGAAAGGATGTGAACCCTAATGTAATTAGATAATAATAAACATGGAGAGAGGGATATGTACATTGTAATCAGGAAAATGATCCAAAGCTTAAAATACACAGATAATAGGACACTTGGATATAACTCTTGCTGTGCACTACATTATAAGTCAAGTTGTGTCTTCAGGGTGTTTATCACGAGGCACGGTTTTGCCCAAATGGAGCTCATGTTTTGGTATGTGGGACAGGAGAGGTTGGTGGTGATGATGATGGGGAGGGAAGCAGAGAAAAGGAAAGAACCCAGGGAGCAGGAACAGATTCCATTTTGGGACACACCAGTGAATGATTAGCCTACACACGGTAGAACCCTGCCCTCCCCTCCCCCAACCCCACTCATTGCAACTGGGAAAAAAAAAGTCAAATGAACAAACAAAACTGAAGAATAAAAATTTTAAAAAATCAAGAGAGAATATCAGAAACAAAGAAACAAAAAGAAGCCCAAACTGGTTTGCCCTCCGCAGTGTAGATTAAAGTCTGTGATATGGAGAAGCAGGCGTTGCTCAGAGAACCTATGGTTTCTTATCAAAACTTGATGAAGAAGTGGGCAAAGAGGGTCCCTGATAGCCAGAGACAAGCCAGCGCTCTAGAGGCCGAGTTTACACCATCAATGACTGCTCCAGGCCCTGTGTAGGGGAAAGAGAGACAGAGCCATTAGCATGCACCCAAAGGTACCATACTTATTGCTGAGCAAATATATAGACATGCTTCTCTGTAAGCATTCCCCCACCTCTCACTTCCACCACTGACCCTTCTAAGTCTGGACAAATGGAAAGTGCCATGGGGCGTATTTAGAAACTCAAAGGGGCAAATCAGTGGGATGCCTTGACCACTATAGCCTGCTCTGAAAGATGGGGTTTAAAAAAAAGTGGGGGATGGAGGGAGGTAATGACAGTAAGTTAGGCCTATGGGCTAAAAAGTTAAGGCTGCAAGACAGGGCTAAATGGTATGGCAGGACCCGATGGCCATTTCATAAATATTACCACTAATTGTGTTCTGTCTTTGGAGATAGAATCCTGGTCAGACAGGGATGCAGGAGAGAGAAATGGGGTGCAGGAAAGAGTCCAGAGCAGAGAGAACGGGGAGGGGGCTGGGGGCTTGGGAGGAAGAGAAACATCTTGTGAGCAACAAGTATGTAGGTGTGGATGTGGCCAACATTTCATCCCGTGTAACTTGGTATTGTGGAGGTTCCTCCTGAAGTAGTTGAGGAAGAATACTCAAGAGTTTTAAAGAGGAGGATTGGGTTTATCCCATCAGTCCATGGTGCCTCTTCAAAAGGAACAAAGAAGACTCAACCTGTCGTGTCCTAACTGCCAGCTAATGATGCAGCCTGAAGCAATTGTACCTGCAGCTCTTTCTTTCTTCTTCCCTCCGTCTGACCCATCTTCACACAGCCCTCCTGAGTCACTCACATTCCATTGAACAAGACTATAGAATCACACATGCTATCCATTTCCTTTCATCTGTTGTCCTTGAGAAGAAAGACCAGGGAATGGAATTATCCTGGCCTATTCAAAGGGCCCAGGGCAGATGTGTCTGTGGCTAACTCTGCCTCTGTGCTCCTCCATCACCTTTATTGGGAAACCACAGGAATTTAGGGTCATAATTAAGACAGGCAGCTAGCAAGCAGAGAGTATTCCAGGGAAAGCAAAAGCAAGTACAAGCCAAGGGATTAGAAGCCATCAATAGACATTCCTATGAAGCCTGTGACAAAGGGAAGGAGTTGCAAGCAAGACAAGCATGCCTCCTCTTCCTTTTCCAGCCAGGACTACACTGCCTTTTTAGAAGTAAATTGGGTTATCAGAAATGAGCGTGGCTACTTTAAAACGCAGAGGTGGCACAGGGGCTGCTCAGATAGGGCCCAATCATTTGGCTTGTTTGTCAACCTAATGGTGTGGATCTGTGCCTGCCTGGGAAGGGACTGATGCTGACCTTTGCTTGAGAAAGTATAGGTATCTCATTACAGCAGAGAGCATTCAACTGTTCCATCTTCAGGGATTTCAACATGGACAACTTTTCTTCCTCTGATTTACAATGTACATAATTCTCTTATTGGCTAAAAAATTCATTTTTATATGATATTTTGAGAGTCTGGCTCATATTTCTCTGCAGTTTTTTTTTAATAGAGTATCCATAGACAAGGGCAGGATAATGTCTCTAGCTCAGGGCTACAATCTCCATGGAGGCTCCATATATATTTATGGAAAGTAGCCTGACTCTGGGTCCTCCATCAGTCCAGATATATAACCTGAGGAAGCATACTGGCCTACTGAGTTGGAAAATGTCCAAGTTAAAGTTCAAGGTAATTTTCTATATTGTCTTCTGGAAAAAAAGAGAATAATTTAGATGTTTAAAATGAGTTTATAAGAAAATGAACAATGCATATTTATAAAACCCATATGTTTCTTTAAATGTCTAACCAATGTGCTGTCCACCTGTGCCTTTATTTAATTCATTGTGTTGATATTAACTTAAGAAACAGTTGAAGCTCTAAAAGCTCTACCTTAGAGGGACAGAAGTCTTAGTGTAGGGATAACTTTATTCCAACTTCTACAGTGGACTTTAGCATTTCGGTGATGTCATGATACAGGACAAGGTTGCATATCGCTAAACAGAGAAGAGAAGTTACATATATAAGAAAGCAAAGCATAAAAAGGTGAAGTATAGAGAGAAAAGAAGGTGGCATCATAAAGAGCAACGAGTGTCTGTCATGGGATATGGGTTGCCATCGATGTTCAGTGCTGATCAAGCAGGGGTTACAGCCACAGTTGAGCTTTAGTTGAGTGTTCCAAAGAGTGGGAGCCATGAAGGTGACTTCATGGATATAGAGGGTGCACAGTTTGCTTTGGATCACAATAGTGACAAGTATGATTCTAAATGGTAAACATACATGAGCTCATTTAATCTTTACAAAACCCACTGAGCTATGTACCATTGACATTCCCATGATATTAATGGGGAAACTGAAGAACAGAGCCGTTAAGTACTTTAACTATGGTTACACAACTTATACACCCAGAGCTGGGTTAGAATTGAGTTACTCTGTGGACAGAGTCTGAGCCCTTGATTATTTTTTTTAATGTATTTTATTGATTTTTTTACAGAGAGGAAGGGAGAGGGATAGAGAGTTAGAAACATCGATGAGAGAGAAACATCGATCAGCTGCCTCCTGCACACCCCCTACTGGGGATGTGCCCAAAACCAAGGTACATGCCCTTGACTGGAATCGAACCCAGGCCCTTGAGTCCGCAGGCTGACGCTCTATCCACTGAGCCAAACTGGCTAGGGCTGAGCCCTTGATTATTACAACTCTACTTCCTCTCTATGGATAACAATACTTTTGCCCTTTTTCCAGGGACCAGAGCATCATGTGGTGAGAGGAACAATGGACTGAGAATCTGGAAATCCAATTTCTCATGTGACTCTACCATTCCCTAGCTGAGTGACGTCCTTTTTCTGGTCTTGGTTCTCCCACATGCGTAGTAAAAGGAGGTTGGAATTGATGACATCTAAGACCCTTCTTCTATTTGCATTCTGAGTTATTGCATTAATAGAAACCCTACATCTGGTGCTAGAATGGACAGCTGGTGAGCAGCCAGATGGCCTTTTCCAGTTGATACAAAAGTCATCACCATTCTGTCTTTATCACAATACCTTGAGATAGCAACAGAGAACCAAACATTACTAGACCCCAAGATTTTCTTTCCAATGGCCTCATTTTCTGTACAGCTTCAAGGTCAATGAGCCCTGGTTTATAGTATATAATATGGCAGTTTACTGCCAACCAAACTCTCAGTTTGTCATTGAGAACGTGGGCGAAACACTGAGTTTATGGTCAATGAGCAATGACTGAGCTATTCTGGCCAAGGAGTTAATCTAAGCCAGCATGATGGAGATTAAAACTAGCATTGCTTTCCTCATACAGATCCTGGACACATTGGAGATTTGGCAGGTGGGCCAATACCAGTGTCATGGGGGCTCTACAGGAGGGCTCTCAGGCTCTGTCCAAAGCAAGAGGAGAGTGGTTCACATCAGTGTACCACTTAAGAAACAGTTGAAGCTCTAAAAGCTCTATTCTAGAAAGACAGAAGTCTTAGTGTAGGAATAACTTTATTCCAACTTTAGCATTTCACTCCCTAGATTGGAGAAATGTGGGACAAAAGCCATGGCCAATGAACTGATTCTTGAATTGCATCTGTACAGTAACCCTGATTCTACTGGAAGTGAAGAAAGCATCCGGGTTGCATCTCTCCCATCCGGCCTCTATGCTCAGGCCACTCCCATGATGAGGCAAATCCTTCCTTGTGTTGTAATAGTGAAGTGATGCATTGCTGCTGCTTAACTATTTGGTGTGGCGGCATGACCACGCAGCCTCACTTCTGGTTCCTCAGGCTGGTAGGAGGCTTTGCAAACCTTAGCTCAAAGAATCTGTCACAGGGGAGAGGGTGACACCGGAAGGACTCTTCCCCTGGTCTGAACACACGTCTTCAGATGTCAAGGTGAAGGTTCTTTCCCATGCCGTCATTTGTTCAGATCCCAGTTCCACAAACTTCTCCAGGCAGTGGGTACCCGAGATAATACCAGTTTTAATTCCAACAAACTGGGTAAGAAATTCAAATGGTGTTTTTATTCTTATTATTGTATTTACATTTTCAAATGGAAATAGGGAAGAAGATAAAGAAAGGTAGGTCTTATGACAAACTTAGAATCCAGAAATTAAATAGGTAAGGCAGATTTTCAATGCTTTAAACCCAAATTGGCCTGACTCCAAAATTATCAGCATTAGTTTTCAACTATGTGTTTGTTCTTCTACAGAAAACTAACCCTGAGGTACACCTGGATAAAGGACAAGTGTTTGAAGAAAAGATGGGACTGAAATAAAGACTAAAGAGCAGGGCCCAGGGATGCAGAGGTGGAGCAGATGTCTTCCAGGGCCTTGAGAAAGGCTTTCTGGGCCTCTGCACAGCCCTCCCTTGGCCTCACTGCCTTGTCTCTGTGGCCCTAAACATCCTTTGAGGTGAATCGCTGACCACTGCAAAAGTGCAACCAATCCTGACAGCTTTGGAGTCAGGCCAATTTGGGTTTAAATCCTGTCTCTATGGCTTGCCAGCTAAGTGATCTTCACGTACTCTCAGTTTGTCATTGAGAACGTGGGTGAAACACTGAGTTTATAGGATAACTAACAGAATTGAGTCATGTGTCTAGTGCCTGGGTCAAAGGAAACATGCGACCCTGGCAACTGCTGCTCTGGTGGTTCCACACCCCCTACCTTCTACGTGGATGTTTTCCAAGTACATTAAACCTGAGGTCAGATTTTGGTGAGTGAGGGAGTGAGGAGTTGAGATGGGTGAGATGGGGGGAGTGGTGTTGAGAGAGGTCATTGGGGTGGGGGGCACTGAGCAGGGAAAATGGGAGAGGTCCAAAGCCAAGCTCTGTGGCAAGGTCCAAGGGCAAAGGATCAGTCTACAAGGGCAATGGAAAGTCACCACTGTTCACTCAACAGGTGTTGTTGGGAGCCGGCCATGGGCCAGGCTCTGTTTTCAGAGAGAAAGGTAAACACCAGCTCTGCCTTTACAAAGCTTGTGGTCCAGTGGGACTCTGAATATTCTCTGTGCTAGTCTAAAGC